TACTCTTCTCCAGCACCACAGCTCAAAGGCATCAATTCTCCTTCTATCCTCCTTGGTCATTGTCCAACTCTCTGATGCATAACAAGTGATTAGAGGTCATAAAAGTGAGCCTAAGACAAATTTTGGGGAGAACCCATCCCAATCAGATGGACACTTGGAGCAGACCTGAGTAGCTAGTACCTGAGTATCCTCACTCTTGGAACTCTTTGCCCAACTGAAAGGGTGATTGTTAGCGATCGTTTTGACCTGTTAGCATGGCTAGGAGGGGGGAGTAAGTCCTTCAAGGATGAAAGGGTCAATGGCTAGAAGAGATAAGAAATAACCTGTGGTCAGTAAATTAAGTAATGTTGCCCTTTAGGCCACCAGATACTTTTCCCCTCTCAGATTATTATGGGGGCAAAAAGAGAGACAGGCACACCCTCACATAGCTTTCCCATTTCTGCGCAGATCTAGAAAGACTAGGACTAAAAAAAACCCTCTTTTTTCCCCAAAATATTCTGCTTATTAAATCTAATTTTGGGATATACAACGTGGAAAAAAACTAACACTTACCTTTCCAGAATAATTTTTTTAAAGCCATTCTTTCTGCAAGTTGCAAGAGAGGTATTTCTCTGACAACCCAGTGCAATCTCACGTCACAAATGTAACACTGAAAATAAATTTATTACTCTTCAAAAAAGAGAGTTGCAGCCCAGGGGAGTTCATATAGTTCTGTATACGCAAAGTAAAAGAGGAAGGCAGTGGAAAACGAAGGAAAAGTTTCATCCATCTTCTGTTTCTATCGATACATCTATGTATCTATCTTTTCCTCCCTCTCTTTGTTAAAGGAGGGTGGTGAGGGAGTTTGGTGAAAATATACATGGAAAAGCAAATCCAAAACCAACAACTTCTTCATGGACAGTATGATGTTTTTCCTTTCATTCTTCAAGCTGTGCAACAATTCTCTTTAATTTTTCCCAATTTATTTTACCAATGTTAACATATCTCTCTCTCTGCTTTGCATCTAAATTTCCCAATTGCAAATTTGGCCATATACACATAAGTTTTTAAGAGGGCTCACTGCTCAAGGTAGACATTTTTTACTAAGTGTTACTAAACTTAGTGTTAAAGTGTTACTTGGCTTAAAGATTACTTTCCCCTTGATTATAGAGGTGTAAATATTCTACCTGCCCAGAAACCAGTGTATTGCTGAGGTTAAAGATATGTGAAGGGTCAAGAGTAGGAGGGAGGTGGAAGTGCTGTGCAGGACACCTTGAAATACCTTCTTCATGGCCTCGGATTCATACTTAAGCATACAGCTACAATGAGTATAGATTTAATGAATACAGTCATGTGGCAGAGCCAAATTTAAGCATTACTAGGGCATTTTCTGTGCGTTGGAGCCCAGTGGCATAGTGCTAGACTGTTAGAAGAAGAGGGAAGGCGAGTTGAACTCACCAGCTTCTCCACAAGAAAAAATTGTGGCAGTCTGTATCTTTAAAGATTACAGCATCTGCAGCCCCATGGGGAAGTTTCACTCTGTCCTATAGATTTACTATGAGTCACTATTGATGCTGGAAGCAAGAGCGTCATCCACTTCCGAAATGGCTTGCCTCCGGAAACTATGTACAAACAGTGCTCAGGCCTTTCGTTCATAGGGTCGCTTTGAGTCATCTATGACTCAACGGCACCTAACAACACCACCACCACCACAACTGATGAGACAACCATGGATTTTGGGGTGTAGGATGCAATCTTTTTTCTTATTTTTAAACTGCAATTTTAGTTATTTGAGAGTAAAAC